CTACAGGCGTGCGCTACCACGCCTGGCTAATTTTTTGATTTATTGTAGAGATGAGGGCTCACCAATTTGCCTGGGCTGGTCTCGAACTCATGGGCTCAGGCAATTCACTTGCCTTGGCTTCCCAAAGTGCTGGGATAACAGGTTGAGCCTGCCATGTCTTTTCATGGCTTGATAGCTCTGCTTTATTGCATTCCTTGGCAGCTATTATTTCTAACATTTGTCTTCTCTCTCTGTTTTTTTTTTTTTGAGTCGGAGTCTCACTCAGTCACGCAGGCTGGAGTACCGTTGTAGGCTCACAGCCACCACAGCCTCGGTCCTTCTGCCTCAGCCTTCCCAGTAGCTGGAACCACAAGCATGCCACCATGCTGGGCTAATATTTTTGATTTATTGTAGAGACAAGTTTTTGCTAAATTGCCTGGGCAGGTCTCGAACCCGTGGGCTCAGGCAATCCTCTCACCTCAGCCTCCCAAAGTGCTGGGATTGCAGGGGACTACTGTGTCTGGCTCACTTTTACTTCACTTTTTTTTTGAGACCCCTGAGTCACCAAGTCTGGCTTCAGTTCTTTTCTTACAGTATTACTATGGATGTTCAAGGTCCACTATATGAGTGAGAACAGGTGATACTCAGATCTTTGTTTCTGTGAGAGGTGACTCCATTCTAAACTCTTTAAACCTTCACCAAAATAATCTTGGCAGGTGGATGTTATAATCCCCATTTTAACCTTGAGAAAACGGGCTCGAGAAGTTGAGCGACTTGCCCAATACCAACATATGGTAAATGGTGGCCCAAGAATCCCATCCAACTCTGATTCACACTTCAATGCAGCATGGACACTCTCAGGGCGCACTTAAGTGTGCTGGTTAATTTGACGAGACCTCATCTCTACAATAAATCAAAAAATTAGCCGGGCGTGGTAGCACACGCCTGTAGTTCCAGCTACTCGGAAGGCTGAGGCAGAAGAATCACCGAAGCCCAGCAGGTTGAGGCTGCGGTGGCCGGGAAGCGTGCCACTGCCCTCCAGCCTGAGTGACAGAGTGAGACTCCAACTCAAAAAAAAAAAAGAAGAAAGAAAAAAATCAGAGTGCGCGCGCGTTAGGCTGCGGAGGCGAGCAGGAGGGCTAGAGAGTGAGGCGTGCACCACCACACCACCGCCCCCGCCCCCGCCCGCGGGTGAATCTGCAAGGAGTGTTGTTAGAGCAACAAAGCGATTCATTTTCCGAGCAACTCCTCCCTTTCCCCCGCCTCCAGGAGGCGGGGCAACAAAACGCGGGAAAACTCGACCTCGACCCCGCCCCCAAACCGTGCTGGGGGCGGGGAAAAGGGAGCTCTTAAATGGGAAACGCACCTGGGGCGTTTCCATGCTTAGGAAGGCTATCAGTTGCCCCTTTAAGATGCCTTTGGACGAGGTCCAGGCCACGCCAGCACTCCTAACGTCACCTCTCCCCCACTTCCGGCCTGCAAGCCCTTTCCAGCCTTCAGGTCCCGGTTCCTTCCACACTGCGAATCCCAAGCCCCGGCCAAACCCTCCGGCCCAGGGAGGAGCTAGGGGTGCCGCCACCGCCCAGGCGCTGGCCCACGCGAGGACCCCATCCACCCAGATTATACCGCGAGGACTTGGTTAGCCGGATGACGTAACGCTTGGGATGGCGTCCTGTTCTGTGACTTCTGCACGACATCATTGACATTGGGGTTTAGTTCGAAAAAGCGCAAACGGATCTACACTTCCGGGCACCGCTCCGGGCCGACGGGGTTCTGCTCCACGCGCCCAGCCCGCAGAAGCCGAGTTTCTTTCGATTTGCATAAGTGAACGGCAGCTCCGGGCGGCCAATGGGGAGCGAGGGGGCGGAGACGCGCCTGGGGTAGTCGCCCCTCCAGCCGAGCCGGGAGGCAGGCTGGTTTCCTTCTAAGCGACAGTGGCGGAGGCCAATCGCTTTTGAGATGCGCAGACGGGGCAGGTGGACCCCGGCGCAGCCAATGGGGAGAAGCGCCCTAGGCCCCCTGCCCAATGAGGGCAAGAGGACTGTGCGGAGCCAGCTCCGAGCGGCAGTACTTAAGGCCAACCCCGCGCGGGCCTGGGCGGGGCGCAGGGCTGAACGACGGGGTTGCGGGCCAATGGCGAGTGTGGAAGCGAGCAGCCCAGACCCGGAGCGCAGAGAGAGCGGAGGGAGGGGGTAGGCCGAACCGGAGAGAAGCAGGAAGTAGCGGCGGCCGCGGGGAGGGCGGTGGCGGCGGCGGCGGCCGGAGCAGGCTAGAGACCGCTGGGTCTCGGCCCGCACCTGGAGCGGAGCAAGTAAGCGTTCCTGGGGTAAATCCCCGCCCTCGGCCCCGCCCCCTGGGGGGGCGGGTAAATCCCCCCGCCCCTCCCCCACTTGGTCAACTACCCCCGTCTCCGCGCCGCCCCCTGGGGCGGCTTCTAGGAAGGCCCAGACACTGCCCCCATCCCTGGGGGCGAATGGGCGAAACTCCCAGCCTGTTGAAAGCACAGCCCCTAGCCGGGTAAACGTGGAAGGAGGGTCGGGGGCCCCGAGTCCTGTCGCCCCCAGCCCGAGAGGCGCCCGAAGTGCGGCCGGGAGACTGGAGGCTGCGGGATGTCGCGACCTAAAATGGTGTCCGAGCCCGGGGATGGGGGCGGGGGAACTGGGCCCGGCCGGCGCGGATCCTGCCCCCCGACTGGGCGCGGGTCAGCGTCCGGGCCCGGCCAGGACTCGGGCTCGCGCTCCGGCCCTCCGCGCGCCTTCGGATCCCTGCCCGGTGTCGAGGGAGCCCCCGGGAGTCCGGGCTGGAGGAGGCTGCGCTGCGCACGGAGGGGAGGGGACGCGTCCGAGTTGGGACGGACCCCGGCTGGAGAGCTGGGAGCCACACAGAGACCGCCCCCTCCCCACTCTCCTCTCTCCATGTGGCCCCCCCCGGTGCAGTCCTGGGCCCCAGGTGCTGCGCAGCAGCTCCCAAAGGGCCTGCCCTGGCTGAGGCCCGGCCTTCACGTCGCACCGCGGCGGGAGTGAGAGAAACGCTGGGCGCCTCAGTTTCCCCTCTACCTTTCCTTACGTACACCCCGCCCCCTCCTCGCAACCCGCGACTTGCTCCCCGCGCCGGCCCTCGGCAGATGGCAGGGACTTAATTCCGCCCGCTGCCCAGCTTGGCCGCAACCTAATCGCCGCCAGCCCCTCGCCCTCCTCTGCGCAGCAGGCCTTGGGCCCTGGCAGAGGGCAGCGAAGCCCCCACCCGCCTTGGGCCTGTCCATTCTTCCTGTTCAGCCCTTTGCTTTGGCTTTTGGGGAAGGACAGAAGGAAGGGGGGGGAGGTGGGAGCCCTGGAGACTGGGCGCAGCAGTCGCAGGAAGACCTGAGCCTCCTTGGCCTTGAGCTCGCTGCTTGGTCTGCTCTGGGTGGGTGACAATCGGGTGACCTCTAAGTCACTTGGCCGCCGAAGGAGAAGGTGGTTGGGGGAGGCAACTTCGCAGGTGTTTTCTTATTGTTCCGCTGGTCTGTGCCTTACCAGCCCACTTTTGTGAGGTCCAGCAGAGGCAGCTCAGGCCTCCCCAGGCGGGAGGGAGCCTGGCTGATGGGGTGGAGGGCTTTGTTTAAACCCTGAGTCTGCAGAATTAAGTGGAGATGGGGGTGGGGTGAGGGTTGGACTCCCCCTTTCTTCCCCTTGTTGGTATCCTTTCCCCCACCCCCACCTTGGTCCCAGCAATGCCAGCTGCCACCTGCTGGGACTGTCTCCAGTTACAGTCTAAGGCTGGAGAGGTGAGAGAGAATGGCCCTGGGAAATGGCCCAGTGTGGCCCCGAAGGCAGGGACCACCTATGCATAGAGACGTCCCTAGTTACTTCTTCCTGGATACTGAAACCCTTGTGGGAAGACATTGGTAGGGGACAGGCCTGGGTTGGCCACAGACTCTGAGCTGGCCTCCTTGTTGGTTTAGTGCCACATGAGTCTTGTTGGACTTTTTTTTTTTTTGGACTTGGCCAGTTTGGGGTTGGTGAGGCTTCCTAGGCTCCTGTTGCCAGTGGAAGGTGGGAAGGTTGAGGAGTGAGTTAGGGATGGATGGGTGGGTGAAGTGAAGGGGTGGGGGAACCTGGCTTCTCCCCATTGTGGCAGCTGTGCTGGGTAAGCTGGTACCCTGGGAGTTTTAGCCCCGAGAGAGAGATGGGCAGCGGGGAGGAGGAGGGGCTGCCTAGGGGAGGGGCAGGCACTCTGGGGAAGTAGTGAGTGAGCAGCAGGTGTTTGTGACTAGGCTGGGGCCCTTGTGACCAGGCAGCCATCACTGTTTTCCCCACTGACTCTCTTTGTGTCTTACTCCTGTCTTATTCTTTCCATCTTAGTCTCTTGGGTAGCTTCTCAGAGTCTATTTCTCCTTGCTGACCAAGCTAGATCTCCAGGGGCCAGTGATGGCCCCAAGTCATGACCCCTGACTCCGGCCTCTGACCCCAGCCCTGGATTTCCAGCCCTTATTCCTTCCCAGCTCCTCCTTGCCTTGCCCACTATTCCAGTTTGGCATAGCTGGAATAAGAAATCATGTTCTGGATCTGATGTTTTTTTTTTTTGGTAACAGAAGGGAGACTTTAATGACGATCTTGCAAGATCGGGTATCTGGTAGGCAGGCACCTGGATCTGATTCTTATGTTTACAATTTCAGATCATGCTCAGCATAACCCTATGATCCATGGGTCATTTGTCCCCTCTTTCTTTCTTTCATTTTTTTGAGTTGGAGTCTCAACTCAATGGCCACGGCAGCCTCGATCTGCTTTGAGCTCAGGCAATCCTTCTGCCTTAACCTTCCAAGTAGCTGGAACTACAGGCATGTGCCATCACGCCCGGCTAATTTTTCTTGATTTATTGTAGAGATGAGGTGTTGCCAAGTTGCGCAGGCTGGTCTCGAGCCCGTGGGCGCAGGCAATCCTCTCACCTCGGCTTCCCAAAGTGCTGGGATTATAGGTGTGTGCCACTGTGCCCGGCTGTCCCCTCTTTCAAACAGCAAAAGTAAGGTGCTGAAGTCAGTTGCTTGTACATCAGGCCCGTGATCAAGATAAACTGGAATCATTTCTTTTTTTGAGTCAGAGTCTCACTCTGTTTTCCAGGCGGGGGTGCAGTGGCAAGATCGCCACCACGGCAGCCTCAACCTGCTGGGCTCAGGCGATCCTTCTGCCTCAGCCTTCCTTGTAGCTGGAACGACTTTTTTTGAATTATTGTAGAGACATAGTCTTACCATGTTGCCCAGGCTGGTCTCGAACCCCTGGGCTCAGGCAATCCTCTCGCCTCCGCCTCCCAAAGTGTGCTGGGATTACAGGCAGGAGCCACTGCTCCTGGCCTAGAATAATGCTCAAGTGCTGGCTTAAGTCATTGCCCCTTTGTACACATGGCCTCTGAGATCTCTGTGGGCTCCAAATGATCCATGAAGAATATGAATTGATCCCAAGCTGCCATGAATGCACCCTTAAACCTAGAGCATCGTGTCCACCATCCTCCACCCTCCTGTGTTCAGGGTGGGATGACCACAGGCAGTGTCAGCAATTGTCTCTGTGTTGGACATGGGCTGGGATGAGCTGGTTTCCGTCAAGATGCCCCCTGTGCTCCTTCTGCCTCTAGCACCCTTCTCTGTATTTCTGAGAAAGTCTCTCTTCCCTTGTTCTCTCTGGGTTTTGGTGCCTGTTTGCCCCGGGTGTGCTTGCTAACCATCTCCTGATTTAGGGTTTGGCAAAGCAAGCACCTCCAGCGGCTCTCTGGGCTGCATGGATGGTGGAGGTGTACCCAAGCCGGAGTGCGCGTGGGCTCTGAGAATGGATAAAAATGGAGATCCTGAGGGAGGAGGTCCAGGGTCTCTCTTCTGGATGTCTCAATTTCTCCTTCCTGTTTTCCTCAGGTCTGGGACCTGCCGCTATGGGGGACATGAAGACCCCTGATTTCGACGACCTCCTTGCTGCTTTCGACATCCCTGACATTGACGCAAATGAAGCCATCCACTCTGGGCCAGAAGAAAATGAAGGGCCGGGAGGCCCAGGGAAGCCAGAACCCCCTGTGGGAGCTGAATCTGGAGACCCAGCAGCAGCTTCTGCCGGGGATGGGGCTCCAGCCCAGACCTCCGACCACGGCCTGGTACCACCAGACATTTCTACAGTCAGTGTCATTGTCAAGAACACTGTGTGTCCTGAGCAGTCTGAGGCCCTGGCTGGGGCTTCCGGAGGGGAAGGGGCCCGGGCTGCAGGGGTGACTAAGGAAGGCCCCGGGGGGCCTCATCTGATGCAGAACGGTTTTGGGGGCCCTGAGCCACCCCTCCCTGGAACCCCCCGCTCTCCAGCTCCTCCCAGTGGGGGTACCTGGAAAGAAAAAGCCATTGAAGGCAAAGCTCCCTTGGACCTCTTTGCTCATTTTGGCCCCGAGCCAGGCGATCACCCGGACCCCCTGCCTCCCTCTGCACCCTCCCCGCCTCGGGAGGGGGCCATGACTCCACCGCCTTTCCCTCCGCCCTTTGAGCTGGCCCGGGAGAATGGCCCAGGCCTGCTGCCACCTGGTTCTTCCCCACCACTCGGGGCCTTGAAGCAGGGCGGCTGCAGCCCCCATCATCCCCAGGGCCTGGCCCGACGAGGCTCAGGGTCCAGCCCCGAGGCCACAGGCATCCCTGCCAGGTCCTCCCCTCCCCAGGTTGCCGGAGTGCCCTTCTTCAAGCAGTCTCCAGGGCACCAGAGCCCTCTTGCCTCCCCCAAAGTGCCCGGCTGTCAGCCCCTGAAGGAGGAAGACGACGAGGGGCCGGTGGACAAGTCTTCCCCGGGAAGTCCCCAGAGTCCCTCTAGTGGGGCTGAGGCTGCAGATGAGGACAGCAATGACTCGCCTGCCTCCTCCAGCTCCTCTAGGCCTCTCAAGGTGCGGATCAAGACCATTAAAACGTTCCTGTGGGAGTATCACAAGGACCGTGACCCGGGTCCCCTCAGACCCTGATCCCCCTGCCCCCTTGGCGGAGGGGGCCTTCCTGGCTGAGGCTAGTCTCCTGAAGCTGTCCCCTGCAGCACCGACCCCTGAGGGTCCCAAGGTGGTGAGTGTGCAGCTGGGCGATGGGACGAGGCTGAAGGGCACCGTGCTGCCCGTGGCCACCATCCAGAATGCCAGTACTGCCATGCTGATGGCAGCCAGTGTGGCCCGCAAAGCGGTGGTTCTGCCCGGGGGACCGGCCACCAGCCCTAAGATGATTGCTAAGAATGTGCTGGGCTTGGTGCCCCAAGCCCTGCCCAAGACTGAGGGGCGGGCCGGGCTGGGGACGGGGGGACAGAAGGTGAATGGTGCCTCGGTGGTGATGGTGCAGCCTTCAAAGACGGCCACTGGGCCAGGCACAGGGGGTGGCACGGTGATCTCACGGACCCAGTCCAGCCTGGTTGAGGCCTTCAACAAGATCCTCAACAGCAAGAACCTTCTGCCTGCCTATAGGCCAAACCTGAGTCCACCAGCAGAGGCCGGGCTGGCCCTGCCTCCAACGGGCTACCGCTGCCTGGAGTGCGGGGATGCCTTCTCCTTGGAGAAGAGCCTGGCGCGGCACTACGACCGCCGGAGCATGCGCATCGAGGTCACCTGCAACCACTGCGCCCGCCGCCTGGTCTTCTTCAACAAGTGCAGCCTGCTCCTGCACGCACGCGAGCACAAGGACAAGGGGCTCGTCATGCAGTGCTCGCATTTGGTCATGCGGCCTGTAGCCCTTGACCAGATGGTGGGGCAGCCGGACATCACGCCCCTGCTGCCTGTGGCTGTCCCCCCTCTCACTGGGCCGCTGGCCTTGCCTGTCTTGGGCAAAGGTGAGGGGGCTGTCACCTCTTCCACCATTACTGCAGTTGCTGCTGAGGCCCCCGTCCTGCCGCTGTCCACAGAGCCGCCTGTTGCCCCCGCCACCTCTGCTTACACCTGCTTTCGCTGCCTGGAGTGCAAGGAGCAGTGCCGGGACAAGGCTGGCATGGCGGCCCACTTCCAGCAGCTCGGGCCTCCTGCCCCTGGGGCCACCAGCAATGTGAGTCGCCTTCCCAGCCCGTCTGTGGGGAGGGGACAGCCAGATGCTGTGGGGATCTAGGCAGGTGTTGGGGCCTGGTTAGAATTTTCGGGGGATAGGCCGCTCCTCACCGACGTGCTTGTTTTAACCCACTCGACAGGTGTGCCCAAGCTGCCCCATGATGCTCCCCAACCGCTGCAGCTTCAGCGCCCACCAGCGCATGCATAAGAACCGACCCCCCCACGTCTGTCCTGAGTGTGGGGGCAACTTCCTGCAAGCCAACTTTCAGACCCATCTCCGGGAGGCCTGTCTGCATTTCTCTCGCCGTGTAGGATACAGGTGCTTCATACCCTTCCTTCCATGGGACTTCAGGGTCTCCTGTCTTCTGGCCCTGCCTTTGGCTGGCCTCAAAGAGAGCCTCGTCTCTCCTGCTGTCTCTCTCAGCCCTATTTTTTTTTTTTTTTTTTGAGTTGGAGTCTCACTCTGTTGCCCAGGCTGGAGTGCAGTGGCACGCTCACGGCCACTGTAGCCTCGACCTGCTGGGCTCAGGTGATCCTTCCGCCTCAGCCTTCCAAGTAGCTGGAGCTACAGGCATGCGCCACCACGCCCGGCTAATTTTTTGATTTATTGTAGAGATGAGGTCTCGCCAAGTTGCCCAGGCTGGTCTTGAACCCGCCGGCTCAGGCAATCCTCTCGCCTCGGCTTCCCAAAGTGCTGGGATTATAGGTGTGAGCCACCATGCCCGGCCAGCCCTGTTGTTTTGGCACACTCAGCCCTGAGGTACCGTGTCCTCCCTCCTGTCGTTCCCTGTGGACCTCTAGCTCCAGCTGTGCCCGGCAGGCCTCCCTGGGAAGTGGGCGGGTGGCTGCAGCTCTTTCCTCCTCCTTGCTCGTGTTCCACTGTCAATTTCCTCCTTCCGTCTAAGTGCGCGGGGGGTGGGCATGGGGATGCCCCCGTCTCACCACAGACCTGTGCTTCCTCCTCAAGGTGCCCCAGCTGTTCAGTGGTGTTCGGAGGTGTGAATTCCATCAAGTCCCACATCCAGACGTCACACTGCGAGGTTTTCCACAAGTGCCCCATCTGCCCCATGGCCTTCAAGTCTGGACCCAGCGCCCAAGCCCACCTCTACTCCCAGCATCCCAGCTTCCACACACAGCAGGCCAAGTGAGGCCCGGGAGGGGCGTGAGGCGGGTGGGAGGCTCCGAGCATCCCTGCCTGCTGCAATGTCCTCCCTCCGCAGGCTTATCTACAAGTGCGCCATGTGCGACACAGTCTTCACCCACAAGCCCCTCCTCTCCTCACACTTCGACCAGCACCTGTTACCCCAACGCGTCAGTGTCTTTAAGTGCCCGTCTTGTCCTCTGCTTTTTGCCCAAAAAAGGACCATGCTGGAACACCTCAAGGTACAGGAGCAAAGGGAGGGGGCGGGGTGCTTGGCTGTGTTGACCTGGGGCGAGGGTCACAGACCGCAGCAAGGGGGGCGGGGAGAAATGAGGACTTTGGCAAAGCCCGGCCTCCCCCAGCAGCCGTTCCTCTTGTCTCCCTCTCACAGAACACCCACCCGTCTGGGCGCTTGGGGGAGGAGACTGCTGGGAGAGGGGCCGGGGCTGCCCTTCTGACCCCCAAGACTGAGCCTGCGGAGCTGGCTGTGTCTCGGGGAGGGGCAGCCCCTGCTACGGAGGAGTCATCTTCATCTTCAGAGGGGGAGGAACCACCCAGCTCCCCTGAGCCCCCCCGCCCAGCCAAACGGCCCCGGCGGGAGCTAGGCAGCAAAGGCATCAAGGGTGGGGGCGGGGGACCTGGAGGCTGGACCTGTGACCTTTGCCACTCTTGGTTCCCTGAGCGGGATGAGTATGTGGCTCACATGAAGAAGGAGCACGGCAAGGTGAGCGGCGCCCCGGTGGAGCCAGGTGGGCTGGAGGCAGCACGGACTGCCTGTGTGACAGCGGGACGGGTCCTGGAGCCTGGCTCTGAAACTTCTATACTCCCTGCTCTCCTAGTCAGTGAAAAAGTTTCCCTGTCGCCTGTGTGAGCGCTCCTTCTGCTCGGCCCCCAGCCTGAGGCGCCACGTCAGGGTCAATCACGAGGGAATCAAGCGAGTTTACCCATGCAGGTAACACCCTCATGCCCTTCCTCTCTCCCCAGGCGGCCCCCACCAGGTCCCCCAGGCACCTTCTCTCCTGCCTCTGTCTGAGTGGACTGAAGCTTGAGGACTCCCTCTGCTCTGGCGGCCCCCTGCTTCCCTCCTTTCTTGGGGCCGTGCCCCTGGTGCCATCCTGCCCCCTCTCCCTCCCCCTTCCAGGTATTGCATAGAGGGAAAACGCACCTTCAGCAGCCGCCTGATCCTGGAGAAACACATCCAGGTCCGGCATGGCTTGCAGCTTGGGACCCAGTCCGCTGACCAGGGGAGTGTCCTGGTTCAGGGTCCTGGTGCCAGAGCCCAGGTAGGCAAGAGTCCCGCCTCCTGTGTGAGGGCCGCCAGAGGGGGAAGCCGCTGGGTATGGATCCCGGCCTCGGGAAGTTTGGGTGGGGGTGCCTGGGGTGGGGGGTGACGGTGAGGCCCAGTTGCTTCCACTCTTCCCCAGGGGCCGGGTCGGAAACGCCGCCAGTCTTCTGACTCTTGCAGTGAGGAGCCTGACAGCACAACACCGCCAGCCAAGTCCCCCAGGGGCAGACCTGGGTCTGGAGGCCACGGTCCCCTGCGCTACCGGAGCGGTGGCTCTGCCGAACAGAGCCTCATGGGGGCACTGAGGGTGGATGGAGGCGCCCAGCAGTGCCTCGACTGTGGTCTGTGCTTTGCCTCCCCGGGCTCCCTGAGCCGGCACCGCTTCATCAGCCACAAGAAGAGACGCGGCGTGGGCAGAGCCAGTGCCCTGGGGCTGGGGGACGGGGAGGACGAGCCCCCGCCGCTGTCCAGATCTGACCCCGATGGTGGAGACTCGCCCTTGCCTGCTTCTGGAGGCCCGCTGACCTGTAAGGTCTGTGGCAAGAGCTGCGACAGCCCTCTCAACCTCAAGACCCACTTCCGCACGCATGGCATGGCGTTCATCAGGGCTCGGCAGGGGGGCATTGGGGACAGCTAGGCCCCCAGCCTGGGACTGAGCAGCCCCCCTTCCCCAGGAGCCTGGTTTTCCCTGCTGCCTGGTCCCTGGGCTGGGGAGTTCCATTAACATTCACATTTCGTTCAGTTCCGCTCCCCAACCCAAAGAAAAAAAGCTTTTGAGGATTATAGTTACTTGCAGCCTCCCTTCAGGTTTGGCCCTGGGGTCCTAGTAGCGTGGATCTTCCTCCTTCCTCCTTCCTCTTCTGAGCCCAACACTAATCATGCTCCTGCTGCAGAACCCAGTGTGGGACTGGGGGTGGGATGGGACTGTCGGATGCCGGCTGGCCTGGCACAGGGAAGACTGATGGCGGGTGCCACGGACACACCCTCCACAGTCCCTCGGCACAGACTGGAATCCTCTTCCTCTGGGCCGGGCCTGCCCTGGCACCCCCCACCCTGACTCCCTGGCACTCAAGCCCCACCCCTGCAGTGCCTTTCACTTCTTCTTTTCCCCAGAAGTCCAGGGAGGGTTGGGGGGATGAGTCCTGTCAGGGGAGGTGCAGGGACAGGAGGGGACAGGCTCTCAGGAATCCTTTATTCTTGTAGTAATAATAATACTAACGGGGGAAAAAGGAGGGAGAAAACCAGACCATTAAATCTGCTCATGGTTTAACCCCCATTCAGGCCTCTTTTTATGTGCTTGGACAATGTGGACTTGACAGGGAGGGGGTGGGAGGCAGAACTGGGGAGGCCCTTCTCGGGGAAGAGTGGGTATTGACCAGTGCTGTCAGGAGAAAAGCAATCTTCTGCCACCTCTTTCTGTGTGGTGCCTTTTGTATCTTGGACACAGGCATCTGTTCACACCTCATCACCCCCCCCCCAAAAGAACCAACTCGGAAATGACACAGATGGCTAACTAAGGACTTTATTTCAAACAAAAAATAAAAAATTGAGAGCTATTTCCCTGGGTGTGGGAAGGGATCAGGCTAGGCCATTGCCCCCAGTTCACTGGAGGGGTTGTGGTAATTCCCTTCCTCACCCGTGACAGGAACCTCAAGTGGAGGACCCTGCGGCAGAGCCCACCTCTCGAAGGGCTAGGGGCCACTCTCTGGGAGCGGGTAGAGTTGGGCAGCAGCATGGCCAAAGGCCAACCACAGGATCGAGTCCTAAGTACCAAGAACCTACTCTTCCCTCCTTCCTGGGACCCAGAACAGATTAAGAGGATGCCCTGTGGAAACCTCTTGGACCCTGGGGAGCAGACAGGCCCCAGTTTTGTTCCCTCTGTTCCCTCTGTTCCCTGGAGGGCACTGAGTCCTGGAGTCTTGTCAGGTGGTAACACTGACACAGCTGGGGGGCAGGGGAGCCCCAGCAAGTCTGGACCCCATCGCTGGCTCCCCCACCCCTCACAAGCTCTTGCAGTTACCACATGATCCTCTGTGTCTCTTGCCTTCCATTTCCCTTGGGTGGAGGTAGGGTAGGTGGGACTTCCCGGTTTGGGGTTTCTCAGACAGGGGTCCTCGCAGGGAGGGTGCCCGGATGCCCCGTTGCTCCTGGGCCTGAGAAGGAGGGTGTCACATGATGCCGTTGGTGAGGTACTGGAAGCCGTCGTAGAGCTTGGTGGTGATGGACCGCATGCTGCCGTCTACCATCTGTTCCACCAGCAGCTGGAGCTGCTCCTCAGTCATGCTCATGTGGAACCTCTCTTTGAGGTTGCGAATGGTGCTGGAGCCGTGGAAGCAAGGAAGCTGGGAACCTGGGGAAGAGTGGGGGTTGGGGGTCACAGACGTCTAGGGCAGAGGGGCAGCAGTTCAGTCAGCAACCAGCCGGGGCATCTGAAGGGCCCTTTCCCTCCCGCCTCAGAGGGATCCCTGGCAGCGTGGAGACAGTTCTGCTTGGGCAGAGACAAGGAGCTGGCGGGAGGGCCTGTCTTGAGCCCCTCCCCTCGTCATCTCACACTCCTGAGCCCCTCTGTTGGTGAGGGCATGTGGGCAGAGGAGGGAAGAGAAGCAGCACCCCATCTCCCCCAGCAAGGGCTGAGGGGCAGAGCCTCAGGACCCAGAGGGCACTGGAAGAGGCTCTAGGGAATGGGCCCTGAGCTGAGCACTTATCTGCTTGCGGCCTCTGCCTATGCTACGTCTGACACTCACAGATGACCCGGGCCACCGCCATCACGGGGCCAGACGGGGAGGCTCCTGAGCAACAGCGGCAACCTGTGGGGTGGGGGCAGGGATGGGAGAAGGGGCGACTGGCAGCTCAGAACTGACGTGCAGCCGGAAGCTTGAGGAGGGGGACGAGGGCAGGAGGGGGACCGGGCAGTGAGGAGAGAGCAGAGTGGAAGAGGACGAAGATGAGAGACAAGAGAACTTCTCCGCTCAGAGCAGAGGGGTGAGCTGTGGCAAAGGGAAGGGTGGCTGAGAACAGGGCCACCAGAGGTCACAGTGAAATTGGGCAGAGACAGGAGGAGAAATTCAGAGCTGGACAAAAGCCAGGGAGGTGAGACGGGACCGGGAGGTTGTAAATGGGGCTGTTCTCTCCCTGAGGATGTCTAGGAGGTAGTTTTCTGCCGTCACCTTCCCCCACCCTGGACTTGCACTGGATCAGAGCTGGAAACCCTCTAGGGAAGCTCTACCCCCAACCAACCCAAGTCTTGGGGTGGGATCAACTTTCTGGAAGCCCTATGCTCCAGGGTCCCGAGCTAAGTGGGCCTCGCCCCAGCCCCACCTTGCTGCATGATCTCCACGATCTGCACCACCTTGTCCATGTGTTTCCGGGCGGCGATCAGCCCTTGCAGCATCAGCATCTTGTAGTAGTTGAACATGTCGCCATCCAGGCCACCCATCACCTGGAAGAGAGGAGAGAGATGTGTGTGCAAGGGGACCACAGTGGCAATGGTCTCTGTCCCAAGAGGCCTCCCGGAACTCCTCCTTCCTCTCTTGGGGCAATCATGCCAAACCCTGTTACTTCTCCACTTCGACAGGAAGCACCTAAGAAATCCTGCTTCATCTTGACTTCTTGCCATTTCTGTTCTGTTCATCCCTAACTTGGGGGGAGCCCATCAGCTCCCTCTCTCATAAGAAAGAAAGAATACAGTGACCCCAGAGGCACTTCTTGACTCACGTCCACAAACTCTGTGGTCAGCTTAAAGGCTGATGTCTCAAAGCCCAGGTTTCGGGGTGAGCTGGACAGGATGAAGCCAAAATCGATGTGGATAATGTGGCCTTCTGCGTCCAAAAGGATGTTCCCATTGTGTCTGATGAAGGGGAGGAGAGGAGAGGAAGAGGCAGTGGTCAGTCTGACTGAGGCTGGAACCTTAGGCTGCAACACATTGGCCACATGACACCAGGCAGCGGAGTCTCTCGCCATGTTTCCTGCTGCCTATAATTCCAATCTCCTAAAACCTAAAGCTAGCAATGGAAAGAAAGGAAGTCAGAAAACTGATAACAAAAACTGTAGGGTCTGAAATGGCTATTATAGAAACAGTTTAAGATTGTTTCAATTGGCCAGGTGCAGTGGCGCATGCCTGTAATTCCAGCACTTTGGGAGGTCAAGGCAGGAGGAGTACTTGAGCCCAGGAGTTTGAGACCAACCTAGGCCACATAGCAAAACCTAAATTAAAAAATTAGCTGGGCATGGTAGCAAGCACGTGTAGTCCCAGCTATTTGGGAGGCTGAGGCAGAAGGATCATTTCAGCCAAAGTGGTGGAGGCTGCGGTAAGCTATAAGTGTACTACTACACTACACTCTAGCCTGGGTGACAGTAAGACCTTGACTCAAAGAAAGAAAAAAAATTAGCCCACTTCTAGCATTCAAATGGCTTCCAATCTGGTAGACAATCCAGAAGTAGGGAATGGTGGCCTCTGAGGCTAAGCATTTGCTCAGTGGAAGGCCTCCACTCAGAACCTATTTACCTGTTTTTATTTGTAATTCCTACCAGCCCAATGCAGATCAAAAGCCTCAACAATCAGAGGCAAGCAGGCCAAGGAGAGTGTTTAAATGTAAAATAGTGTGAAAGCTTCAAGGGGTAAGTTTTCCATCACTTTTGTAAAAAAAAAAAATCTCAGGATGCAGTACTACAGGGCAGCTGTAGCAGAAGAGTCAGAAGGAGATAAGTCCCAGGACTCTGTGGTTCCTACATGAACGACCAGTGGAAGAAGGAACAATCGACATGTTAAGCATGTGAGGCCCAGCCTATCCAGCATAACCGACCTCCTCAGTGTAGAGACTTTGTTAGGCTAAGAGCACAGGGTCTGAGGGCCACCTTCTCTGGGGTCGGTCTGACTGGCCAATGGAAAAGAGATGAGGGGAAAACTGAGTCCCACCTAAGGTCTTCTCCTTCTGAGGAAACGTTAAAGATTCAGCAGCACAGAGACAGAATTCTGAGAGCCAGAGGGGTACTAGGAGTTGTCCTAGTTCAGCCTCTCATTTAACAGAAGAGGAAACAGAGGCTCCAAGAGAGGAAGTGAATGTACTTGCTCAAGGTCCCAGGCCAATCTTTTAACTACTAGTGTTAGCTCCAGCTGGAAAGCTATTGGGGGCTTATTGAAAGCATTTCAAGAGATCTTAAAACCTGCTTGGGTCCATTCACTGTTGTCCCTTCTTTCCAGTGACTGGTTCCATTAAAAGCTTGACTGCAACTATTCTTTTTTGAGCTATTAGGAACGGTTTATCAGCTACCTGCCCTCTCGCATCCCTCCTTTTTTTTTTTTTTTTTTGAGTTGGAGTCTCACTCTGTCACCCAGACTGGAGTGCAGTGGCCGCTCCCGGCCACCGCAGCCTCGACCTGCTGGGCTCCGGCGATCCTTCTGCCTCAGCCTTCCAAGGAGCTGGAACTACAGGCGCGCGCTACCACACCCGGCTAGTTTAGTTTTTTTTTTTTTTTTTTTGAGTTGAAGTCTCACTCTGGCGCCCAGACTGGAGTGCAGTGGGCCGCTCCCAGCCACCGCAGCCTCGACCTGCTGGGCTCCGGCAATCCTTCCGCCTCAGCCTTCCAAGTAGCTGGAACTACAGGCGCGCGCTACCATGCCCAGCTAATTTTGATTTATTGTAGAGATGAGGTCTTGCCAAGTTGCCCAGGTGGGTCTCGAACCCGTGGGCTCAGGCAATCCACTCACCTCAGCCTCCCAAAGGCACAGGATTACAGGCTGAGCCACTGAGCCCGGCTTAGTTTTTTTATTTTTATTGTAGAGGTGAGGTCTCGCCAAGTTGCCCGGCGCATCCCTCTTTTTTAAAAGGATACATTCTCAGCTTCCAAGCATATTGTTTCCTAAAGGAAAGCCCTGGGGCTGAACTAGCACCAACTTCTCTGCCTGCCGCCCATGCCCATTTACTCAATCCTGGGCTGAACTCTAGACTCTCTGGCTCTGGGTTCAAAATCCTGACACTTCAGAGATAGTCTAAAGCTTGCAACCCAATTCCTTAAAAATATATTCCCCCACAGCCCTCAAATGCAGAGCCTATGCTGGGTTCATTTTTTTATTTTTTTTTAATCAATTTTTTTAAATGATATTGTGGGGTACAGTTAAGGGTTAGGTATACAATGCTGGGTTCATTTGTAGGGCTGGCAAGGTGAAATGAGCACAGGTTTTTGTTTTTGTTTTTGAGTTGGAGTCTCACTCCATCACCGAGGCTGGGGTACAGTGGATTACTTGTAGCCACCCTAGTATCGACCTGCTGTGCTCCA